GCATTGGCTTTACTAGCCATTCATGGAGTTCCTTTAAGCAAAATAGGTGACTTCCTTCCATATCTCTATACTTTTCTTTTATTCTTATATGTTCATATCTTTCGATTTTGTTCATATTTGATTTTTGCTTTGAGGTGGAAAGATCCTCCTTGATAAATTGAGAATGGAAAGGTCTAGTCAAAGACATTAAAGAAAGGCGCTTGTTGGGAGGCAACCCAATGATTTATTTTTGTTTTTGTTTTGAATTTTATGTTAATTAGTTCTTAATTAATTTCTGCATATTTCATGACCTTATATAAGACATCCTATGATATTATGTGCTTATTGCTATGTTTGCTTGATTTATTGGATTTGGTGCACACTTTCTTGATAGATTAAGTATTACATATATCATGTTATTGATAATTGTTTCCCCACCTTTGTGCTTAATGTGTTGCTATTGATCTAACCAAAAAGATTTTTAAAACAATTCATTGATTTTTGAAATTGTTTTTCAAAAATTCTAAAATTGTTTTGAGTACACATTGTCTTATCTCTTTGATTTATCTATGAAAGCTAGTTTGCCATGGTTTAGTTTAGTATTTAGGCTTTTGTAATATACGTCAAATTTTCATATGCAAGATTATTCTTTGATTGAAATTTATATGGGAGTTTTTCATAAAGTATTACTTCTAGAACTTGCTTAACTATCCTTTCGAGGCGACTTATATATTTAGCTCATTATTTTTTATAGTATACACTTTTATGGAGCTAGAAAATATGCATTTTAGGATTGAGTTTGTGCTAAATTTTGCCTACCCTTTGAAAACCATAGTAGTGAAACCGATTGTGCCATTTTCTTGGTGGCCGATATTTGATATATTTCTTTGTTGTTAGCCACATTATCCCAAAGAACCCTAACCCTTTAAAGAAAGACAAATTTTCTCTTAGCCATATTATCTCTTGATTGGTGAAGTTTGACTTGTTTCATTGTTGGTTATTGGCTTAAGCATTGAAATCGGTTATTTGTGAGGGATTCCAAGTATTCCTTAGTTGGAGATCCTATTATTTGAAGGGTGGAATTGATGTCCAAGTTATTCAATTGGTTGATTTGAGAAGTGTCAAAAAAAATGAAAAAAAAAAACTTGAGGTGGGAGAGCATAAAATGCAACCACCAAGAAAATTCAAAAAAAAGAAAAAAAGAAAAGAAAATTGAAAAAAAAGGGGACACTTGTGCTTATAGTTATGGACATCCATTTGTGCATTCATTGTTTATGGTAAAGTTTAGAAGGAAGAAGAAAGTTGAAGTTCTTGGAGCCAAGTTTTGGGCTACTCATTAATATATTTGCCCATGATTATTTTCACTTCACATTTCTTGATATGTTTTTGATATATCCTTTACCCTTTCTTTGATAGTCCACTTTACCCATTAGCCCCATTACAACCCTTATTATTAATGCATTCTAGTTCTTGTGTATACTATGCTTTATTTCATTTTGAGCTAATATTTAGTGGAGATTGGATAGTCTTGCAAGCCTATGGTAAATATACTATTATGAGTGGATTATAAATACCTACTAAGGTATGATGAACCCTATAATATTTTAATTGGATTTTTGAGCATATTTTTATTTGATTTATATTACATTTGAATTTTTACTAACCTTTACTATACCTTTCTAGAATTAGTGGATGAATTTTTGAGATGATCTTTTGTGTACTCCACATTTTAAACTCTTTTTGAAAAAACCCACATTTTTGGTTGATTATTTGAACAACTACTTTCACATTGAGGACAATTTTTAAGTTAAATTCTTTCAAAAACAATTTTTGAAAATTTTCAAAAACAATTTTTTTTTGTTTTTTAAACTTTTGCTTCTCTAGTTAAATTCTTTTGCATAATGTTTGTGGGTATCTTTCTAGTTAAGTAAGCTCTCAGGAGACTATACTCCTCCTCTAGGGACGCTTAGGGGTTTAAAGGCTTGTGGTTTACGCTAAAAACCACCGTGTGCCTACGAAAGTGGAACTAAGTCATTTGTTGCATGTGATTTTGCTTTTTGATTTTAGAGTGTTTGTTTGCATATGCATTTGTTTGCTTGTCTTTAGTTTTCATTTAAGTTGTTAGTCTTTATTTTGTTTTCTAGCTTGCTAGGGACTAGCAAGATCTAAGTATGGGGGAATTTGTTGAGTGCATATTTTCCTATCCTTTTCATGTCTTGTGAAGGTGTTTTTATGACCATTTGAAGTGATTTGGTACTTAGTTTGCTCATTTATATGTTTTAGGTACTTAAAAGTAGAATTGGAGACAAAGGAAGCATATTGGAGCAAAGAAGTAGATGTCCTGCATCAACCTGGAGCGGGTCGAAATCAACCTCCGCAAAGGGGTCGAGATTCACCAAGATACAAGCTGAAATTTTCCTGTTTCAACCTGAAGCGGGTCGAACTCGACCTTCTCAGGGTCGAAACAGGCTTCAGAAATCAAAGGGGTGCTAAGGAGATGTCACGTGGGCTTACTTTCTTATTGGGCTCACAATTTCACCACTTAACATGTTTGGGCTTGGGAAATAATTCATGATTCAATTTATTTATTTTATTTTAGTTGTTCTTTTTAGAATTTAATGGCAAAATTGTAAATTGCCAAAGACTTAAAATATATTAGGTTTATATATATAGTTAGCCGCAAGCCTTAAATCAGGGAATTGGGTGGATTCAACTTTTGAATTCCAAAAATTAGAATTTTGCTTTGCTTTGGAATACGTAAATTCAAGAATGAAGATTTTCTTCATTCTTGATTATTTTGTAAACTTTCTTTTCTAGTTAATTCAATTTTGATACTTTCAATCTCTTGGGTATTTGATTTGTGAGGCTCTGCGCTTATTCATCTATCTTGTAAGTATTTCAATTTTCTCTGAATTATTTGAATGATTTCATGCTTGATTATGTATAATGGCCATCTATTGTAATTGGGTGTGATTTCTATTGTTAGATGAGATTCCTATATGCAATCGTAGGTAATCAAATCCCAAGTAACAAGTTAGAGTAGCCCTCTAAGAGAATCTTGAATATAGATTGAATGTTGCCTATTAGTGAACATTGTCTATTGTTAGCTAAGTTTTTTTCTAGTTCTTAAAGCAATGGGTTACTTGAATCTAGTAGACGATTGGAACTAGGTTAGTACACCTGTTAGGATTTAGTTTAGGGCGTGAGTCAGGAGTAATGAAGACTAAGGAAAGATAGGGATTAATGGTCGATGACGTTAATCTACGCCATCTATTTATAAGTTAGATATTGATTGATGCCAAGGATCAAATCCTTTTATCCAAGAGTACGATTGTCTTGAAATTTGAATATTTATTTAATTGTTTCTTTAATCTCACTAGTATTTTATTTTGTTATTTATTTAGTTTAGTTAATTTCTCCATAAAACCCCCCATTTAGTTTAATTCACAACTTTAGGAAAAGTAATTAAAACAATAGTTCTCTGTGGGATCGACTTGTACTTACCCTGTCTATAGGTTTTGTATGATTTTATTTTTGGTGGATTACGACTCCTATCAACAACCTTCGTATCGACTTCACAAATAATAGCACGAAAGCCCTCCCACCAAGCTAATTGCAAGCCAAGACAAAAAAACATGCAGTTCAGCCGCAACATTTGAACAAACCCCAAGGTGAGCAGCAAAACCAACAATCCAATTACCCATCGAGTCTCTAATCACCCCCCAGCTCCTGCAATACCCGGGTTTCCCCTAGCTGCTCCATCCGTATTAAGTTTAACCATTTCTTCCAAGGGAGGCTGCCAAGAAATGGAAATACCCGTCCGAATGGGAGTGGGTGTCTTCAACATAGCCTCAAAGACTTCCTTAGTAGTGCCTACATTATTAGTAACAATAGATTCCAAAGAAACAACCTCATCTGGTTGAAAGACCAACCTGCACCTAGAAGTCCATATTCGTCAAAGTGAAGTGATAAACAGTGTCACATGATAAGGAGATCTGCTTTTCATATCCAAACCCTAATGCAACCAATCATAAAGAGATAATTGAAACAAATTTGAGTTCAAAGAACAAGGAAGGACTTGCGCCCAAACCTGCTTTGCTTTCACACAGTCATGTAAAGCATGCAAAATATTTTCCTCACCAGCTTTACAACAGGAACAGATCGCTGATGGAGAAAGTCCCCAAGAATGTCTCAAACCATTTGTAACAATACGACCCCTCCAAACCAGCCATAAAAAATAAATCCATCGCATAGGAATATGCAATTTCCAGATATAATCATTACCACACGACTCCACTAGATCAGATGTCTCCTTCAACAGAGCCAAGTAAGCAGAACTACTGGAAAAAATACCATTTGAGGTGGCCCCCCACACATACATATCTTACATATTCACAACTTTAGGCAAGTGGTAGCCTAATATTCGAGTAGCAAGCTCATAAGGTAATTGGGCAAACAACATATCCACATTCCAATTACCACCATCTACCATGAAATCACTAAACAACAAAGTTGTATCCATAAAAGAAGGTAAGGTTTCCAGTGAATTAACTAACGGATCCTTAAGCCAATTATCCAACCAGAAGCGAACATTCTCACCACTACCAACCCTCTATCTCAAACAACGATAGAGTTCCGTCAAAGCCCTTGCCAACCCGCGCCAAGAGGAAGACCAAGATGACTTCTTCGAACCAGCCTCACGAATAAAATCAAAGATGTCACCTTGGATTCTATACTTAGCATACATACACTACACCCAAAGACTTTGTGGCTGATTCAAAAATCGCCAAGCAGTTTTCTGTAAGAGAACACGATTATGTTATTCCATCTTCCTAAGCCAGGCCCTCCATACTTTTTAGGTTTACAAACATCATCCCATTTGACAAGATGAATAACTCTCTTACTCTCCGAACCACCCCAAAGAAAGCGTCCATTAAGCATATCCAAGTTGTTGCGACAACTCACTGGTAACTTAGTCGTCAACATAGTATAAGTTGGAATAGAAGACATAACCGAACTCACTAAAGTTGCACCCCCGCAATATTAAGGACCTTGGATTTCCACCCACTAAGACGAGTATTTACCTTATTAATCAGCTCACGATACAAAGCACCCCCAACTTTCTTATGCACCAAAGGAATACCGAGATATTTTCCAAGATCATTAGTAGTTCCAATTCCCAAGATACTGCTAACTAACCTGGCATTTCCACCAGAGGCTTTGGGTGTTATATACATCCGAGACTTCTCCAAGCTAACTTTAGCACCCGAAGCTAGACAAAAGCAATCCAAAACTCCTCTAATCGTTTCAGCTTGCCTTGCAGAAGCACGACCAAACAAGAAAAGGTCATCAACAAAGAAAAGATGTGAAATAGAAGGCCCACCCCTACCAATCGTAATAGGCTTCCATTCCTTGCAAGAAACAGACTGGGCGATCAAGTGACCAAGTTTTTCCATGCATAAAACAAACAGATACGGTGAGATAGGATCACCTTGCTGTAAAAAATTAGAGTATCCTGTAAAAATCCCGTTGTATCCTATCATAAGCTTTCTCCAGATCAATTTTAATCGCCATCAGACCCAACTTACTTTTAGAGCGCTTAATTGTATGAATCATTTCCTGCGCAATAAACACATTATCTGCTTGGCGACCATGAATAAAGCTTGACTGCAGAGGACCAACAATTTTATCAAGTAGGGGTCTCAACCTGTTAACAAGTACTTTCGTAATTAACTTATAAGCCATGGTACACTGGCTAATAGGCCAATACTGCTTAATATACTCAGGTTGCTGCACTTTAGGTATGAGCACTAATAAAGTACGATTAAGTTCAGGAGAGAAAGTACTCGAGTCAAACGCATCGCTCACAAGTTTAACAAGAGAAGTACCAAAAGCATCCCAATATACCTGGTACACACCAGCTTGGAAACCATCAACCCTGGGGCCTTCCAAGGCTTCATTTGGAAGAGAGCACAACGCACATCAGTAGGGGAAATTCCTTTCTGCAGACTAAGTTTTTCATCAAAGGAAATAACCGGTTGTGGGAGGGGATCAAGAGGTCGAACCTCACCCTCTTCAACATAAAACAAATCCTTATAGTAAGCCACAACAAGCTGCTTCAAATCATCCTGATCTGAGACCCACTCATCAGAAGAACTGTTATGTAACATCAAGATCTTATTTCTCCTTCGACGAGTAACAGTAGACAGGTGAAAAAATCTAGTATTCCGGTCTCCATGACGTATCCATTGGACCCGTGATTTTTGGGCCCAGAAAATCTCTTCTTGCTCCAAAATTTTGTCATACTGCATTTATCAGATCCTCCTCAAGCAACTCGAGTTAGTGTGATCTATGCGAGGCCAAAGCTCCTTGGATACCACTAATCCGAGCTCGCTGCTCCCTCTTTTTCTAAAAAATATTACCAAACTCAAACTTATTCCACTCCAACAAAGCCAAGGCCAATTTCTCTTCCTTTTCAACAAAAGTCCCATCAAGATCATGCTAAAGTTTACCCATCATATCATTAAAACCATGCTCCGCAAGCCTCACAGCTTGGAAGCGAAAAGGCCGCTTACTTCTATCCGCATAAACACCAGGTTCCAATTTCAATAAAATAGGACAATGATCTGAATAAACCCGAGGTAGGATTTGATTTCTAATTTCCATATGAATAATATACTAGCATTAAGTGTAAACACATATCTATACTATATTAAAAAGTACGTTCTCTTGTAAAACTTTTGAATCGCCCATTATACCCTTATTTTTCAAATATATTTCTTAAATGCCATTGTTTAAACTTTTATAGTTTTACTCAACTAAAAACTCTGTTTTTATTTAATTAAATCTAATATCCTTATAACTATTTAATTTTTACCATTTTACTATTTTAATTTAAAAACTTATATATATTAGACTTTTTTAAATATACTTTTATAGTTTTACTCAATTAAAAACTCTATTTTTTATTTAATTATAATATCCTTATACCTATTTTATTTTTATCATTTTACTAATTTAATTTAAAAAATTAGATATATTAGAATTTTTTTAAATATATTTCTTAAATGACATTGTTTAAATTATATATATATATATTTTAGAAATAAACTTTTACAGTTATTCTACTAAAAACTCTATTTTTATTTAATTAAATTCAACATTTTTGTAAATATTTTATTTTTACCATTTTAATTTTAAAAAATTGGAGCCTTTTTGGTAGCTCTGGACCCATTTCAATTATAATACAAACTAATAAAAGTATTATTATCAAGTTTAAAAGTTAAAATAAGTTATCTAATCAATAATAATTCAAATTTTTTAAAACTAATTAAGTTAAAAATTTGTTAAAAATTTAAATATTGTGATTCACCTTTTTCTATTTTTGAAGAGTGTATTGGTAGTTTAATGTATTGGAGTGTATAACAAGAATTTAAAGTTTTTAAAAATAAAAAGAAGAGTGATATGCAATTATTTCCTTGACTTATAAAGTTAGAAGAGTTGACGCCAAAAAAAAAATATTAAAGGAGTCGATCGAGTGGGTTGGACGGGTTTCGGGTCATTTGGGTTCAGGTCAAATGAGTCAGGTAATTCTCTTGGGTCATTCGGGTTTCAGCTCTTCTGGGTTCAGGTCATTCGGGTCTCGGGTCTGCTTGGTCTAGGGTCTGGCAGGTTCGAGTTTTGGCCTCATGTTACTCGGGCTTATTCGGGTTTTGGGTTTTTCAGGTCTAGGTTTCGGATTAATTGGGTCAGCCTTGAATTTTTAAATGTTCAATTCTCAATTAATATCTTTATTATTCGATTTATTTAAAAATCCACTATCGGTGAAGTTTAGCAAACTGGATATACGGGTTAAAAAGTTGACATGTGTCCCTTTATATACTAATTTTGAATATTAAATACATAATTAATTATGAAGTGGGGTATGTGTTCAAATAAATATTGGTTATATAATATCTAAATTTATGTTCTTTCCTTATAGAAAAAATTGTCAAAAAATTACTAATTAATTATTATTATTTATTTATTATGTAAAAAAACAAATTACTAATTATGAATTTATCATAAATTATTCATATAACTGATTTAGCATTTATTCCTATAATAATTGTTCATATAATGAAGTTTAGCAAATTTAATCATAATAGGTAAAATTATAACAATAATATAAATTTTATTGAATAAATGATAATTTAGAATGGTTAAAAACTTAAAATTATAACAATGTTGATTTTATTGAATAAAACATAATTTTAGTTTATAATATTCTTGGGACATCCGGGTTAACTTCTCGGATCATTCGGGTTACGGGTTTGTCGAGTCTGGATAAGACGGGTTCGGGTCGTTTACTTTCTCTGGTAAAATCGGGTTTGGTCAGGTTGAGCGAGTTATCTAGTTTGGATAAGGTTTTGACAGCTCTACTTATAATTAATTTCAATTATTATTTTAATTCAAACATGAGGGGTCACGTGCAACGCATGTGGAAGTAAAAACTAGTTTCAGAAAAAAAGGAAGGTAACACGTTTTGTTCGATGCAATAACCCTCTCAAATTAGAAATTATTAGGAGGACCAGGTCCAACACATCATTCGTGGTCCAACCAATAATATCTCGCCATGTAACCAACAATGCCATATCAGTTCGATGTCATGTCATATTTTCTCTCAAATTATTATTAATTAATTTAATCTAATTAACGTTTACAACTTAAACGACAAACATTACCTCTCTTATATTCTCTCCCCACGATATTTTTCCCAATTCTCTTTTTCTCTTGGCTCGACCGATTCCACAGTTTCTGCTCTGCTTTGAAGCCGGGTCTCCCATTGAAAGTTAAACGGCAGGCATTACCTTCTCGATTCCCTGCTATCCCCACGAGATTTTTCCCAATTTTGTTTTTTTCTCTTGGCTCAATCAACTCCACCATTTATTTTGTCAGTTTTATAATCTGTTTGGATTTATTTTCCTAGTGCACCAATCGGTCCTTGTGCTGGTTCTCTGAAGTTGATTTAATAGAATATTTTCATATTTTCCTCAGCAGTTTTTTATGTTAAATACTTCATACTGTTTGATTCATCCAATAAACTCAAAATGTCATAAAAATCAAATACTGTAGTAATCAAATTCAATTTGTGGTGGCACCGCAAACCTTAAATCAAATACTTTTTTTTTGTATGAGCCAAATGCACAAATCTATTAGAAAACATAAAAAAAGTGAGGTTATGGCAAGGAGAGAGCTGTTATTGTCCTCGCAGCTCCTTGTGCTAATTTCCAAACTTCTTTTGCCAAGGGATGTACGCCTCGGAAGAATCTGATGCTCCTGAACCTCTTGCTCAGTTCTTGGATGTCGTCTCTTAAAGGTTGTTATTTCCAGTGCAATAAGGTGCATCCTCTCATTGTTGATATCCACCTTCGATCATAGGCCGCGATCCACACCCTGTCAACTCCATTGCTACACAGTCTCTGAAGTGCCATTCGTGTAAATTTGCTCCTTACAGTAGCTTTGTTGCCCGCTTCAATGCTATGGACCATGATAATCGTGTTTCCATTGAGGTCCCTTGCTATGAACGTCGTACCATAAGTATTAGGTCGCTGTGACTTTTGTATTTGAACAAAAATCATCCATTCTCCCATTTCCATTTGTGGCAAACTTTGCTGGATGAACTCCATCTCTCTAACTCTTGGACACGTTACACTTCCTCTCTGTTGTTGTTTTTTGAAGGCTGCTAGGATCCATTGAATGTAATTCTTAGCTATTCGCAGTGTAGCTTTAGGATTGGGCTTTTCCTTTCCAAAGCACACTTCATTCCTGTGTGTCCATATACTCCACAAGCAGGTGGCAGATGTTACCGAGAAAACTTCCTCATGTTCTGAGACTTCGTTTTTCCTTTCAATCCATTGCATTATCCAGCTTATAATGTTGGTTTCCTCAAATAGGTGTGTCCTCAATCCTAGCTCCGAACCAAACCATATAGCTCTTGCAAAATCACATTCCCAGAAAAGATGATTTACGCATTCTTCATGGTTTCCGCAGAGGCCACATAGGTTTTCCACATTCAGCCCTCTATGTTTCAGTTCCTTGGCTATTGATAGGCAGTTATTACACAGTTTCCATAAGAAAACAATAAATTTCCTAGGTAATTTGAGGCTCCATAAGCCGTGCCATTGGTTTTGTTTGCTGAAGTCTAGCTCCCTTCCTCTGTTTTCCTTCAAAATCAGCTTGTAAGCCTCCTTCACCGAGAATTCCCCATTGAAGTTGTCTCTCCAGACTACTTTATCTTCCTTTCCAGTGATGGAGCATTCCCTTGATAAGAGATCTTCTATATGGTCTAGCTTCAGTAAACCCTCCACTAGCCACCTTGTCCATTGTTGATCTCTTGGACATTTTAGGCTTTGTGCATTGATAGCTTGTTGATTCGTTTGAGTACATTGGAAGTTTTGCTTTATTTGCCCATCTTGGATGAAAAGTTTGTCTCCTCTATTGGTTTGGATGTCAAGTCCTTTTATACATACATCCCTTCCTTCCAAAATGCTTTTCCACACCCATGAGTCCCCCTGTTTTGGTTGCACTTTCTCAAAACATTTTGAATGGCAATATTTTGATAGCAACAGTTTTGCCATCAATCCATCAGGGTTTTTTTAGGGGAATCTTTCTTTCTGAATCTCCATGCCCCCACCAGAAATTCCTTACTGTACGATCCATCTTCTCACAAATATGTTTAGGTGCCTTAAAGACCGCCAATTGGTAGTTTGGCATGCTAGCTATATAAGTATCTGCCTTCCTGCCTGAGATAAAAGTTGGGCTTTCCATGCTTCCAGTCTTCCTTGAAATTTATTAAGAAGAGAGGAAAAGAAAGCTTTCCTTTTCCTTAATGATCCCATATCCATTCCTAGATAATTTCCTGGTTTTTGTGTTAGACAGATACCCAGAATTCCTTTGAACCATCTTTTGTGATTTGTTTTGCAATTTGGGCTCAATAAGAGTTCAGACTTTTTCTCATTGATCTTCTGTCCTGAAATGAAGCAGTATTTCTTAATAATCTGTTTCACTTTTCTGCAGGATTGAACTGATACTCTGAAAAAGAGGAAAGTATCATCTGCAAACATTAGGTAGTTAATTGGGTCTGCTCTCCTAGCAATCTTGATTCCTTGGATTTCTCCATTTTCCTGTG